ATTTGTGATAGGATCCACAGTTTTTACCTTAAACGCCATAGAAATAAGCTCTACGTTCCCTCCCTTAGAAGCACCTACTGATGCATAGTTCTTCAGAATAACAAACATTCAATTGGCTAGTTTCCTGATGTTATCGTCCACAGATGGTAATTTGAATTTCAGTAACCAACACAAGCATCTCAGACTTAAGTTGTTAATCTGAAAGAATATAGATGTTTTAAACAATTGGGTGCATTGACAGTATTTTCTATCATGAGGGTCAATCAGTCAATTCCTTTCAATACTTGCCTATGAATTTAGGTCACCTCACAATGTTCAACATAGACTCACCCTGATATACTTAGAATGCAGACAGTCCACTAAGATGGCGATAAAAAGGACCACTAATTTACAGTGGTTCTCCTCTGTTGCCACGAAGCGGTCTCTCTTAAGACACAGACACAGAAGCTGGAGACCAAACTCCACCAAGACATGGATGTTGGTCTTCTTACTCAATTTTGGTTTGTTTCCTCCATGCTTTGGTTCCTCTGGTAACATGAGACAACTTGGAGGTCTAAAGGACTGGGTCTCCTTTTCTTCAGGTTTCTTTTGCTTGCTGAAAAAAATTCTCCACAATTAACAACCCCACTTTCAAAAACAATGTTCTATTTCAACATTTCTCACATTCAATGTATTGAAATAAATGCATATAATGCATAAGGTTTGTTTTCACACCATGCTATTTTTGCCCTATAACTCTTGAGAATGGTTTTGCCCCGTTTTAAATTTGCCCGTTCACAATTGTATTTTAGACATAACAATGTTTTCTTTGATTTTGCTCCGTTTTAAGTAGTTGCCCATTTGTGATAGAGGTGAAAGGGGGTATAAAATGGGGACAAAATGTCCCTGTAAACAGAAATTCAATCTACCTTTGTCTGTCGGATAGTTGTGGAAATGAGTGAGTGATTAATCCGTGCGTAAATATCATCAGAGACCCTGTATCTAGACCTGGGTTGTCCAGTAATCCTGTCACCACTTTCTTTAGGACTTCCTGTGCCTTTCTTGCTATAGTGTTGCTGTGTGTAGAGTCAAGAACCTGCAAGAAACAAAGAGTTTTCCCAGAATCCTTAATTGAATACAACATATGAAAACACTATGCAATGCACAGTATACATGATACTCAATGACAAATAACAAGGGCACTGCAAAGAAAAAGCCCCTCCCCCTAAAAAAGGATTTTTTTTAATAATTCATTAATATATGCATTCCTCTTGAATTTCGTAATTATGAACTCCTTTTAGTATGATTGTCATAAAATGTTATTTACTTATTAAACTTTATTATTATACTTTCATGTTAAATACTAAAATTTGATTGGTTTAGACGCATTAAACAATACTTTCTGTTACCTTCAGCGTTAGAAACACACTTCACAACGGGTAACATAACGAAAATTGTCACATGCATGTAAAGAATGTGTGTACGGTTTGCCGTAGAATTCTCATAACATCAGTTGTGCATTTGAAAGAAGCCGAATAAATCAAACTTGCATCCAATTGGCTTAATTGAAAACAACAAACGACAGATGAAATATGTTTTAGAGTGTGCAGAAATATATTTAACGAAACTTTAGATGATAAAGGACTCTTTGAGTATCAAACAAACAATAATGAGGTCAGTAAATCTTTTTCAAAGCTTTCTTATTGAGAAAAACAGAAGCGAGGAGTTTCAAAGCTTTTTACGTGTGAACTTAACAACGATCGACATTTTTTTTTTTTGCTTACATCCTAAATCAAGAAGACATTCTGTATAATAAAATTAATGGTGTGTTTTGGAGAGTAACAGTCGTAATTGACACCCCTCGGAAAACCAATGTCAACCTCCGCTGACACGCCGGTTAACAATGGTTTTCTGTGGGGTGTCAATTTCGACTGTTACCTTCCAAAACAGTCACCATTTATATATTACTGACTTTTTCTTTAAATTTCTAAAACATGTGATTATCACACCGAAAATAAAAAAGGATGACTGCACTTAAGGAAATGTCAAATTTGCGACAAAATAAACATTCAAAATAAGCATTTTCATTGCAAGAATGGTCAGCATTCAATCTGCAACTTTATGTAACAACGTTTAATAAAAGTATGTATTTACGAAGTTCGAATCTGTTTTCAAAGGCAGGGATCATCACAATTTCTTGAATCTCCGTTCGATAATGAGGTTGCCAACTTTTTTATTGACTTCATACATAGTCAGCGCATGTTTTTCTATTGCTCTACATTTAACAGTAGTTGTATATTGGCATAAGTAATAATGTGACAAAAGGAGATTAATAGACAAACATGCGCTCATGGTTAAAAAGAGAAAAAAAACTTCTTCTTCTTACATTCGCTCTCTCTGTTGTAACCAAGGGTTGTGACATGTTGAATTTATTCAAGAGATGAATTTAATTTTTGAGAATTCATGAGGACATGACCTACGGCGCTTCACGCCGGCATATTTCATAAAGCGCGTCAGCGCTTGATGATGAATATGCAGGCGTGAAGCGTTGTAGTTCATGTACCTCACGAATTCTCAAAAATTAAATTCATATCTTATATTTACATTATTTTTCTGATGACTTGCCACATATTTTTGGCATTCAACGATCATTTTTGGAAAAAAAGTTTGCAATATTTTCTTTTACTTCAATCACATCACATTGGAAATACTCTTACTCATCCCACGGTAGTTCATGAGAACGTGAACTTTTTCTAATTTGCAAAGAATCTTAAGGAAAAATATTTGGAAATGTAAATATATTATAATTCACCACGTGATTTCTTACCTCAGGTAACTTTGTGAATTCTAAATTCCGTCACGTGACTTTTAAGGTAGCATGTTTTGTGTTAACTAGGACATTGTGTTCGAACACGTTATGTGATCTGGCATTGATATAAAATATGCTTTAATTACATGGACGTGCTCATATTGTTTATTTGTCAGTAGTGTACTTGTTTCATATAGAATGGAGAGGGAGATGGGAAAGAGTGATCACGTTTCTTATTTCATGTCATTGTTATTTTTCTAGTCTAATTTTAGACCCATTCTTACAATGTTAGCTCCACCTCTCATGCATATCTTATATCAATCAAGGGCAGGCAACTGTAAATTCTATATATCTGGAAAGCAGTAAGCACAAAAATCATTGAGTCATTTTATTGTATCACAGTCTAAAATCATTTTAAGATTTAAATTTGGTTCCAAATTGACAGGATTCTTTCATAAATATACAAAAGTGAAATAATGTTTAGACATAAAAGCAACCGAAAAAGACCCAAAAACCGGCGTTAAGTGCAGTCATACTTTATAAATTAAGATTAAATGCTATGGTATGAAAAGCACAATTTAAAAATACTATTTTTTAATGTTCAACACGTTTTTTAAGCTAATCAATACAAATTTACAAAAATCGATTTTTTTCTGAAGGTAAGACCAGCGAAAGATACTGAATGCCTTTACAAGGTGTTTCAAATATCTGTTTAATATTCTAAATAGGTGATCTATCACAAGTTTCCAGTTGTACAATTTTAAAAATATAAAATCTGAGAAATGCAAATGTGTTTTATATGTTTTATTAATTTGTTTACATGTGCATGCATACAACTGTACAATGAAGGAATTAATGAACAACTATATCAAAATCACTGTGCTATTTTAATAAGGAAATTTTATTGCACAACTGCTTCATTAAGGAGGTTCGATCCTGAGCTTTCGAGCAGCTTTAAGTCTGAACCTTTATTTCTAAAATTCTGCATCTTATTTAAGTTCTTAAATTAAAATTGGATTCTACAATATACATTACACTATATTCAATGAAAAAAAAACGCAATTAAATTTCATTCCAATAGGATTAAGCTAGGAACTATATTTTGTGGTGGAAGGTGTTTTAGAAGAAAATATTTTTTTTTTCAGTTTTTAAGTATTTAAAGTTCTGTTAAGTATAGATCCCTATTTTTGAATGCTGGTTGCACATAGAGCTATTTTGTGCAGTGAAGTGTTTTATGATTCTGAAATATCTATTTCATCAATTTTCATCAATTCTATCGTCATATTGGAACAGATATATATAGTAAATATATATATTCTGAAAGTCCAGGAAAAAATTGAGCCAATTTTAACATAAATTAACACTTTTTCAGCAATGTCTAAAAATTTACATCATAGACCCCAATTTTTGATTTTCTTTTCTGAATATTTAAGATAACTTTGATCAATCTGCTTAAGTTTGGCAAAAGTTTAAGACTGTAAAATAATTTTCTTCTGTGTTGAATTTTTTATGCCAGAAAAAATGACATTTTTTGAGTGCAGAAAGGTCAAATAATTGATTACTCAAAGCAATTTGAAACTTTTTCTTCATCAAAATTTTATAAATGTCTTTTTTAAGATAGAATAATAGTACATTTTTAGCCCATGATTTAATTGGATAAAAAATATTGGAGGAAAAACTTCGAAGATGTCATTTATGATTAAGACACAATTTCAGTACAAAAAGGTCATAATAAATGAATCCTAGCACCAAAAGAAGCATATTGGCCCCCATTTTTGGTTTTGTTTTTTAATTAAGCTATGTGTAGATACTAAAAATATACTTGACAAAAAAATCTTAAGACTTTAAATATCAGGATCCAGCCTCATTAAAATTAATCCAGGTTTTTATGCAGACCCAGTGTCAAAATCCTTATCACAGGTAGACATTTAAATCAATGCATAGGAAGTACACAATTAGCACACACCTGAATCATTGATTATCTTAACATACAAACAAGCCGCCATATTTGTTAGAGACAAACTTAAACAGGTAAAGACAATTACAGCTTAATTCATTTGTTATTAAATATACGTAAATTCCCATTTAATTTTTCTTTTCTGTGCTTTCTTGTTGATTTGAAAAAGATATATTTTGTATGCCAATTTTATTTTGTAAGGTAAAACGATAAAGCTATACAGTTTCATTGTTGACACTCCTTAATAAGAGTGCCATGGCAACATCATTAGATTTTCATGCCAGGGCACAGGACATAAAACGCTGTCAACTTTGCCCAGGAAAAGACAGGAAGTCTGCCACAGAAACGGTGTGTAATACTTGTCATGTCAATCTGTGTAAGGACTGTGTAGGTCACCATATGATTTCTAGTCCAACCATTAGACATGATGTTGTAACTTTTCAATTCAAAAAATCTGAAATCATTCCACCACAATGCAATGCCCATGGTGAAATGCAATGTGAAATGTTCTGTGAACAATGTAATTCCCCGATTTGTCAGAAATGTCTAGCCTCTGGATCCCATGAAAATCACAATGTACCACATATTTCTGCAATTTACAGCTCTAAACAGGAGCTTATCAGGAAAGACTTAAATGAACTTGAAACTAGTATTGCACCTGTTTATGAATCAATTCTCTCTGAATTAAAAAAAATGTTATCAAGCATTGAACAGAAACACAATGAAAGACAAAGAACCATTGATGAATTTGGTAAAATATGGCACAAGCTAGTAGACAAAGTTATTAAAAAATATCAGAGTGATGCAAGAAAAATGGAAAGAGATGATGTTAACGCAATAAAGAACCTGGAAGCAGATTTCCAAATAGGATACTTATTAATTCAATCAGCAATGGATGACAACAAATCTATCCTAGCTTCAAATGATCCATCTAAACTAGTCAACTACACTTCAGAAAATGAAAAGTTCAGAACTGTTCATTCCAGATTTGAACTAATAGTGTCGGAATTCAGTCCCAAAGAACTTACAGAGCAGGCACTGTTTCATATCATTGGAGACATTCCAGAAACGGTGAAAACTAGCATTCAAGGACAGGTCCTAAAAGCTCCCCATTCTAATCCCAGTTCCGAAAAAGCTATCAAGAAGTGTCTTGATTTGCCACTTACAGTAGGAGAAATAAATACTGATGAAGAAATTTGTCAGCTAGCTTGTATTCCTCACACAGATCAATTCTATGTCAGTGGCGTCAATGGAATCATTAAACATATGAACAAAGAGGGGGAGGTGCTGAGGAAGATCACTACAGAGAATATTGAATTATGGGCTTTGACAGTCACCAGAAAGGGAAACTTAGTGTATATTAAAAAGGAGGAGAGAGAAATTAACATAGTTGAGGGTGAAAAGATAAAATGTCTGCTCCAAGTTCAAGACTGGATGCCAGATGCTATCTGCAGCACTTATACAGATAACATCTTAGTACATATGACATTCCAAAATACAATGAAATGGATCCAGCGTAGAAAAGTTGTCCGTTATTCTGGCTCTAAAGTTACACAAGTAATACAATTAAGTGACCTGGATTTATTTTCAATATTTGTACATTGTATTGATGAAAACAAGAATTTTGACATTATAGTGAGTGAGCAAAATTCAGTACTAGTGTTGAACAATAAAGGACAATTCAGGTTTAACTACAATGGAATGAAATACAAATACTTCACTCCACATGGTATTACTACAGACAGCATGTGTCACATCCTGATTGCTGACAGGGCTAATAACATTATACGCATCATTGACCAGAATGGACAATTCCTTCTGCACTTAGACAATTGTAAATTACACCCACCATGTAATCTAAGTATAGATAGCAATGACATATTGTACGTTGTTGCTGATAACCATAAAGTGAAACGAATCAAGTATATGGAATAAAAAAAATCATGTGTTCATGCAGCCAAATAAACTGAGATGATTTATGAACCTCAAAGTCCGACAGGGTTGGAAGAAAATATCAGTGGTGGGAATTATTTCTTTAATTCATTCAATATTATACAAAATTCAGAAATATAATAAACATTAAAACGGAAGATAATAGTATGCAATTATTGCTGTTTCGGAGATCAATACGATGATTTAGACACTTGAGGAGTACAATATTCACCGAGCCTGAGGGGAACTTCCAGAGTGGCAAGACCAATTATAATTTTTTTGTCATCCAGTGAAATACCGCATCTTACACTGTGCTTGGCTTGGACTTCAGCAAATATATATATATATATATATATATATATATATATATATATATATATATATATATATATATATATATATATATATATATATATATATATACTCACAAAAAAAGAAATACAAATTCCAAAAATTATGACGCTTTGCTTTGCTTGATGAGACAGAATTTGATAAGCTTTTAAATGATAAAGATGCAAAACACACTCAGAAGGCTACAAAAATAACAATCAGGATCATTTACAGCTATTTACAGGAGAAGGGACTCTCTCAAGATTTTGAATCAATGGAATTGGGTGACCTGGACTCTGCATTGAGCAAATATGCAGAAGAACAAGCAGCGATGGGCTCTATAAACGAAGCAGTTTATTTTCTTATAGACATGGACTTAATAGACATTTGACAATGAAATCACGAAATCCGCGGGACATTATCCACAGACAGAATTTCTGGAAAACACAACTTTTAAACAATTTGTCCAATATAACAACTCATTACAATGTACACTGCAAGGGAGAGCGTTAAAAAGGTTCAGTGATAGACTTGACACAAGAAGCTCAGAATTTAACATTTGAATCGTACCATTTTTTTTTTTTTTTTTTTTTTTTTGTTACACTGTGTTCTTATTGAAATTTTTTGTTGAAACTTACAATTAAAGCAAAAATGTTAGAGTATGCTGTCATATAATCATAATTATAATAAAACAATTATTGCTGTGTTTGAGGTCAATATGATGATTTAGCCACCTTTAAAGTACAATGTTGACTTCGACCTTGGCTCAATAAATATTGTACTCCTCAGGTGTCTTAAAGGTGCTTAGACACAAATTTGAAGTTAATATTTACTCCAATTTTCTGTATAATTTCATGACTTGTATTTTGCTATAGCATTTCTCAAGAAAATTTGATAAAAATCTTATTTTATCTGGAAGTTATTGAAACTTTGAATTTCTGGACGCGTTTGATAGACACATCCTTGCACTTTCACAAATTTTAACTTTATCCTTATTGCTTTAGAAAAGTATCAATTTTGTTGTTTATTAATGAGAAATATTAAAACTATAATGCAGAAATTTCAGAGTAGAAATGTAGAAGGCAAAATTCTCTCACCAGTATTGTCAGTCCGTGCTCAGTGGTGTGTGCAGAGTTTAACAATTGAACACACCCGGTGAAACGTAAACATTAACAACAACAGAGCTCGTGCCCTGTTTACAAAAACAGTTTACGTTTCACGGGTGTATTCAATTTGTTAAACTCTGTACACAACTACACAACACTGAGGAGCACGGGCTGACAATACTTAAGTGAGTGGGTTTTGCTTTCGCACATTTTTACTCTGAATTTTCTGGATTATAGATGTAATATTATTCATTAATACACAACAAAATTGCTACTTTTCTTAAGTATTAAGGACCAAGTTAAAAATTGTGAAAGTTTTTAATTTTATTTACGTGTCAAATGCTATAGCAACATATAAGTTGTGAAATTATACAGAAAATTTGAGAAAATATAAACTTGAAATCTGTGTCTATGCACCTTTAACCATAGTATTAACTTCAAAAACAGCTGCAATAATTTATTTTATTTTAGATCCAATTGAAATTTCTTTTTAAATATGATTAAAACATTATGAAAGTGGGAATTTTACATTCAAGTGTAAATTAAAATTCATTTAGATTTACAAAATGTAATTGACTTTCATTTCTTGTTGTTTTATTTTTTTACAAAAAATATTTTTGCAAATGCAGTGCATGCACAAAATTGCTAAAAATTTAGAGAGTAAAAATTTTGAGATTTATGATGTACTGTAGATTTACACATTTTTATTATCAGACCAATGCCATATTTTCATTCACAAATATTTTAAAAGTAATGATAACATTTTCTTAATATTTAGATATGTAAGACGTGACTATATTGATTTGATTATATATCAAATTTTTTATTGCACAATATGTATCATGATGGTATCATACAAAGACTAATATTCTGGCATTTCATACATACACATAATTACTAGTACGAATCTGGAAATCATTCATTCATTTGTTCAAAGTTTTGAATTACTGTTACCAGAAGTATAAAAATATTGTTGAACAAGGGTATCATAAATCAAGGCATGTTTTAAAATTATTAGAGCCATACACTCTTTAAATGCATTTAGATAATTGAAAATTGTGGAAACAAGGTCCCAAGGATGTGGTAACATGGTTTCACAAAATCTTTTGGGTGAAGATATATTGCCAAAAATCATGAGAAATACGATGATCAGGGATCAGCAAAATAGTAATTCTAGTACTCAGTAACTGAACATAATAATCATATCTATTTACCTGCTTGTACTTGCCAGTGCTAATATACTAATGCTTTTTCACTATATAATTGATATCAGTAGAGCCTTGTCCACTTGCAGAACATCTAACCCAGAGGCCATGGATTTTACATAAGAGGCATCCTTGTTCATCATAAGCATGAAATTATTTTGTCTACTTTTAAATATCTAGAGGCAGAGAAGATTTTTGAAGTATTTATGCATTTTCACTATATGATTAATAAAGCCCCATCCTAAAATTAGAAACCCAAATCCAAGGTCTGTGAATTTCACAAATTAAATAAATCATCATAACTTGGCACAAAGTTAGTTTGCTAAATAACCACAAAAAGAGAAAATTTTTAGGAATGTATGCATATTTACTACAAAAAATTTTTACTACATAAATAACACAGCACAAGCATAACACCAGAACTCCTAATCCAGGAGCCATGAATTTCACAGTGAAAAGGTTAAAATAAAAAAAAGTGATCGATCTAAAAACATCCATGAACAATACAAAGCTGTAAAGAGGGCATAAACACGGACCCTGGAAATACCAGGTGGGATCATGTGCCTAAGAGGAGTAAGCATCCCCTGTTGACCAGTATTACCCTCCATGAGCCCTTAGTATTGATCAGGAGGACAGAACCAATGTCAAATTCATTATAAAAACAAAGGTCATACAATTGGTTTGAAACAAGTCAGCTGAAATATGATCCAATGGTAAGTAATATTTGCTAACATGGTTATTATAACCACCATAGAATTTACAAAATGCTGACTTAAAACGAGGTTATTGAAATCCCTGTAATATTAACTCATCTATCAGTAGCCTGCCTCAGTTTAAAAAGGGGCAATGAATTTCATAATTTTGGAAGATGCACCCTTGCTCATTAAAATCTTGCACATAGTTTGTTTGCTTAATACCCAGGAGAAGAGAAGAAGGTTTTAAAGAAATAATGCAAATATACTAGAGTCCGTCCTAAAAACAAAACCCCTGACTCAAGGGCCAGGTTTTAAAAAAATAATAATGCAATTTTACTATAGAATCTATAGAGTCTGTCCTAAAAACAAAACCCCTGACTGGAGGACCATGAATTTCACAATTTTAAAGGAGGAATCCTAGCTCACTAATACCCAAGCATTGTTTGCTAAATACCATGGGGCAAAGAAAAAAAATTCCTCTATGCATTTATACAATGTGATCAACAGAGCCCCCAAGATACCTCCTGACCTAGGGGCAATAAAATCAAAATTTTGGAAAGAGGCATCCTTGCTCATCATAACCATGAGTTTTTCTGCTGAATACCCGGAAGCAGATATTTTCAAAGAATAAATGCATTTTTACTATATTATCAATAGAGCACTGCTAACAGAAGACTTCTTACCCAGGGACCATGAATTACAATTTTAAAAGAGACACCCTTGCTCATCATCCTCATGCAGTTAGTTTGTTTATTATTATTATTATTTATACTCAGGAGTAGAGAGGAAAATTTTCAAACACAAAACTCATTTTAATATATTATTGAAAAAGCCCAATCTTAACAAAAGAACTGCCGATTCAAGGGCAATGCATTTCACAATTTTGGAAGAGACACCCCTGCTTATCATATCATTTTGTAGTCAATCTGTTTGCTTAATACCCAGGAGCTGAGATTTTTAAAGAATTAACACATTTTTACTATATAATTAATAAATAGAGCCCCGCTTTGACACCAGAACCCCTGACCCAGGAGCCACGAGTTACACAATTTAGCATGAGTCACCCTTGCTCACCATAATTATGCATGTAGTTTAATATACAAAGGGAAAGGAGAAGCTTTTTAAAGAATGATTGCATCTTCACTATTTTAATCAATAGAGCCCCACCCTTACAGCAGAACCCCCAACTCAGGGTCCATGAATTTCATAATTCTGGTAGAAGGCTCAATGCTTATTACAATCATACCAACAGTTTAACTACTTGGTGTCCATGTGTAAAAAAGATGTTTAATGATCGCTTTAATTTTGATGGTTTTAGCCTCATCCCTTAATTCCCTTCACCCAGAGATGCCATATGCCAAAATTAATTGGAATGGGTTCAGCTGTTCCAGAAGAGCTGAAAAATGTTCAAATGTTAACCAATGACACATATTACACAACGCACTATGAACCTCGCACGCATGACAAGGGACAAAAACAAATACCAATTGGTCATCCGAGTGACCTAACAAGCTTGAATACTTTAATATACCTTGCACTCTTGACACTGAAAATACAAAACTTTAGCATTTACATGAGCCTCTTTACACATGTATGAGCAAAAAATAATAAACATGGTCAGTTTCAGATAAAAATATTAATTTTACTTTTACCTTTTATCATTCATGAACTATATAACATATTTTCAGACAAATTTTGATATCACAGTCATTATCAAGATGTAATAGCAAAGTCTTATTTTTCGTTTCTTTATTTTCTTAGACACACGGTATTCTTCTATCTTTCTCTTCTTTGCTTCTCTTTTCGCTAAGTTTTTTCTTCATCTTCTTTTTAGCTGCATATTGTGGATTAGAGACAGTCTGAAAAATGCATAGAAATTGAAGTACGCGAGAGAGATATCGCTAAACCTCATAAATCCCTTTTTTTCAAATCTCTTTAACTTTGCAAATAATAATATGATACCATTCAGAAAATTTTGGCCAATTCCATCTAAGTTAGAAGTAGGTGACTGAAATCTGCCAAGATTTGATAATTAAATGCAAAATCATGAACTGAATTATTTTCTTTTTAAAAATCTTGATTTTCTGCTTTGTCTCACTTACACAATACATACAGTGCAGTGTTTATTTAATGTTTCTAGAAAACAAGGTATAATATCTAATTCAGACCTCAACAGCATCTTTTCTTTTCCTTGTTTCCTTCCTGTCAAACTGCTCTTTGTGAGTTTTTGCAAAAAGCTGGGTGTATGTTTCCACACCAAGGATCTTGTTGAGTATATCTAAAACTTCCTGTGCAAGTCTTTTGAGTGATGAATCTACAATTTAAGCAATGGTATACTAAATATACAGGTGGTTTGTAAAAAAAAATCATCATTCAAAATGATACAATAAATAGTCTGATGTTGTTATTTTATCATGTAAAACAAAAATGCTATTTTACAACAACAGAGAAAATTATATAAATATTCCCCAATTCCTTTTGAAAATGCATGTAAATTTCCCGTGAATTCACTTTGATTATTAGATTCAAAATGATATTGAAATGTCTTTATCAAAATATTTCCTCATCGAAAAGAAATACTCATTTGTAACAAAAAAATATAAAGTAAATTAATAGATAGTACTCTATTAATTAAATCAATAACACTGACCAGTATTTGGATTATTCTCATTTGTCTCCCTTTGTAGAGCTGGCATCATGACTGGAACAACACTGGGGAGAAGTTGAGGACCGAGGTCCATACTGACAGCTGCCACCCACTTAAACACACTAGATCTCTACAAAATACACTAGTCTCTACAACAAAATATACCGGATCTCTACAGGAACACAAAACACTAGATCTCTACAACAATATTATAACAATTCGCAATACAACTTAAACTCTTTATACAAAAAATCACTGAAATTGGTGTTCATTTAATCAAGGAGAGAAACTCTGCTTTGTTTAAAGTTCTTGAAAAGCAAAACTGAATTTCACCATTCTATGTTTTCTCTTATGCTGTATGTTATTCATTTATTCTATATTTTTCTTCTTTATATGCTGTTGCTAGTTCTCAGGCTTGTTATCAAGGTAAAATACTTTGCCAATTTTTTTTAGAAAAACTCAACAGTGCATATTAGTGATATAACCAAAACTTAAGTCATCAAATATAGCAAAAAAATCTACCTTTATTGTAGTTTTTGGCTGGTTCACTGCCTCATGGTTTGCTTCCCTTATCATTTTCTTGATTAACCATTGCAATGAAAGACACTTTTTGTCCTTTGTACCACTATTTTCTTTTTCTACAAAGTCATTAGAACTCTCTCTGTCAGTGAGAAGCTTGGCTACCTTGGCAATGAACACCATGTTTTTGATGATTTGATTGGCTGATTCTTCTGTTAAATACTGTGACTGAAGCTGTGATATCAGGTCCAATGCCAGACTCTCCAACTAAAACAGATACATGTCTTACAGATAAGTGCATGTTTCTCATAAGCCTTACTTTAATACAAATAAAGAAAAAAATAAGTTTACAGTAAGACACAGTACCTTTTTAATGGAGTCAGTTTTAAGGAGAACTAGAAGAGGGCTGTAAAATTTCCTCTGGAGTCCATGCAGCAAACATCAGATCAATCAGTTGGCAGGATGCCAACTGCACCCACATATGTTCATATCCCAAATGACTCACAACATATTCTGAAACAACAGTAAAAACTAACTAAACATTAACCAAAAACTTAAAAGTACTTTCTGTCTTTATCTGCCACAATGTTTCAACTTATTGCAGAAATAATGAAAAATCTTTGAATCTTAATCATAAAAACCTTGCTTACAATAATCTGAAATCAATTTCAAATGAAATCGAAAAATATACTATTCAAAAAATTTGATTAACATTTACCCCATATGATATTCATTTCTTCCATCCATTTAACATCCCTGATTATGTCACATTCTCTCAGTAACTTGAGGAGTGTATTTAAACAGTTGAAAAGTAGTCTGTCTTTCTCTGTTTCTCCATCAGAACTTAGGGGCTAAAAATAAAACAATGCATTCCATCCCTAGAAATGCTAAATACTGAAACAAATCATTATACCTGTATCTATTTTATAAGTATTACTTGATTATCTCAACAAAAATTGAAATATTTGGGGGGGGGGGGGGTTGATGATTTTTAAAGTTAAGCAGCATTCTCTAGAACACATATCTTCCTTTCAATTTATATTTCTGAGTATATACAATGTTCATGTTTAGATATGCATTTCAAAGGAGAAAAAAATACATACATTTTCTTCATATCTTCCTGTGTCTATCTGCTGTTGAATTAAAGGTAATATAACAGGCAAGTGGTTTGTAAACTTTGTGGATTCTACTTCTATAAATAGACCAGTCAGCTGAGCGGAAAGGATCCGATGGTTTATCTATAAATATTGATAACGCAGCACAGTTAAGGCTGCAGTAAGGAGGCGGGGCCTAATTTGTACGGGAAATGCTTACTATGACATCACACAAAAATATAAGTTCTTCAAATTACCACAGAATGAAATGATTTGCTATTTTAAACTGGTGGATAGCTTTAAACTACATAAATACTAATTATTGCATGCATTTTTGTCGTTGGTTAAACCTCACACAGCAATATATAAACAATTCACTGATCGCAATGCACTTGTCAATGTGACGTCATATCGTAAAAGTTGACGCAGTTTGTATGCAGTGAGAGGCGGATCAAGTTATATTTTATACAATGAAAAATGTATTTTGTAATTAAATAAAATTTTATTTGCAGATATATAAGAGGCCTTTAACTTGGATGCGATGTCTATTTTATGATTTTATTCATATACTTCCCGCACATTCCCTAGTCAAGCGATACTGCCGTATATTTGTATGCAGATTCATTGAAGGGTAACAAAAGGGCCGTAATAAATCGATATATTGCAAGGGCATACCCTTGATGAATTATGACAAGCTTTTACACATAAACTCAAGAAGTATGAAGATATTTGAAAAGTGCTGCGAACCTGTTGAAATCTTGCAAATGAATTAATTATATCTATATTTAATGCACTTGACCAGCAAAATATTCAACATACGGTCTGACAAATGTAATTTTAGCAATTAGATAGTAGAATCCAAATAGGTTCGCAGCACTTTTCACAAACGACAAAGAGTGTTGAAAATAATTATATATTAAATTTAGATTTTTAACTTGGTTATGCCCTTGCAATATTGGAATTTATAGATGACCTCAATACTTCAGGTATATTTGCTAAAACCACGTGACTGCCACATCACGTGGCAAGTCTAAATAAGAAATCTAATCATCTTCAACATGTAGTTTTCAACCACATTGCATTTGTCCGATAATAGTAAAGTCCTAAAAAGAATCACCCATCCTTGTAAAGAATGTATTTTCTATCTAAAAAAAATCGCCGATGTTTCCATTTGGCACCTTAACTGTACTGCGAAAATCGTAAATAAGTTACCATGCAATATTACCTGCTAAGATTGGAATAAAAAAGAGAAAATTCCTAAACACATGAGGCATGAGAGTAAAGAGCTAGGTTCAATTTATGCATAAAATGGCCCTGTCCTTATATCAATTGACTATCACCCTCTGTCCCATTTCATATATCAAAATAACGTAGAGACTTAGCGTTTTCATTTCCTATTACAAAATTTCTTTTTAAGAATCCAAGTATTGGAAAAAAGCCTTTGTGAAAATGCTATGTTCTTGAATTTTGCAGAACACAGGCGTATTTGACTGCTTTCAGCTAAGAATTAAAATAGGAGCAAAGCCCTTGATACAAAAATTAAAACATGTTTTATGATCTTCAGAAACAGATCTTTCATTATGTAATTGCATATTTTGGAACAGAGGTTGTGCTCTATATCGAATATTGAAAAAATACTTCAACTTTTGGCCATTTTTAAAGGAATATACAGGATATGAGAAAAATGATGCATTTTATGACGTCATAATGCATTCAATAGATGCACGGTCACCAAGGGTACAAGTAATAAATACTGTATTATCAACCATAACTGAGCAGTTTCGAATTTTCAGAAATTCTAAGGGCCAAAAAAGGCCCTAAGTGGCCTTTGCTTTTGCATTTATTATCATACAATGCGTGTATACCTTGTCATCGGTAAACCATCTTTGGGTGATGTTAAAGAGTTCCTTTCTTGAATTGTGATCTATCTTAAATGTAAATATAAACAAAACATAAATGTAAATGAGAACAAAATGCAATGATATAAAATAGCAAAAATATGTGGATTTCTATAATAACAAATTTTAATACATCTTTACATTGGACATTAACGTTTGTAAACTCTAAATTTGACAAATCAATTTGCCTTAAAATGCCTTACAAAAAAATCTCTTTCTATTTTTTTTTAAACACATGCGTGTTTAGATACCTTTTGCAAAAGGGATTTGATGGCAAGTGCTGTGAGTTTTCTACACTTTGTGGATTCATCATTAACAAGAGCTGCAGACATGGGTATGAAGAACATTCCTGCATGATCATTCAAGATGTTCTGGAATATAATGCATCCACATTACAAAGGTATCTTTTTCACAGCAAACACTCTTAAAACATATGCACTTCATGCTCTTTCTAAATAAATGTACAGTGACACTTGTTTAGTTTGGATGACACTTGTTTAATCAGGATGACATTATTCCGAAATCTTGCCAAATTCAATTGTTTAAAATGTTGTCTAATCCAGAACGTTGTCTTATCCATTAAATTTCTTTGGAACCAATGGTGTCTGGATTAGAAAAAATTTACTATTATATATACCTGAGGAAATGAAGAAAATATAGTGGCCAACATTTCCAAAGCAGATTCACGTCCCATCTCCATCTCATAGGACAACTATGTGACATAAAACTCCAGGTGTTTATCAAGGAGCTTCCCCAGGGGATATTCCAGGATGTACTGCAGGGCTATCTGTATCACAGCAAGAACCAAAGTTATAATTATGTGCATTTTTGTAAAGTATCAACAATGTAAGGAAAAAGATATAGGGCAACAAGAAGATATTAGCTACAAGCATTTCAAAAAAATCTTATTTTCAAAAGAGTTAAAATATAACTTTCTCGCCCTTGTTACCTGTCTACATTCCCTCCTGACATGGGGGGAGTCAGCTGTGATGGACATACCCTCCACCTTCTTAATCAACTCCAACACTTCTGGAACGTTTAACTTCCTAGACAATATGGCCTACAAAATTTTCAAGATATTTATTTTCAGTTTGACACTAAATATTTCAATGTAATTGGAAAGCAAAAATCAACGTGATAGAGAAAAATCACCAGGTACTTTACCTTTAAAAGGCAGAATGCAGTGCTCTGTCTGTTGTAATCATACAAATCTTCTTCACAGAAAGTCAACAGAACTTGGAGTTGTGTTTGATTTCGTCTGTAAATCTTCACATCTCTTACCAATACCGTCACAGCCTACATATTAAATGCATGTACGATTTAGAAAAAAAATAGGGGGTGGATACATTTCTTTATCTTTCCATTTTAAAATCCTTTATTGAAAATATTTTAAAAATCAAGGGTACCGGTAAGAGTTGTGATAAGATCCACAGTTTTTACCTTAAATGCCATAGAAATAAGCTCCAAGTTCTCTCCCTTGGAAGCACCTGCTGATGCATAATTTTTCAGGATAACAAACATTCCATTGGCCAGTTTCTTGATGTTATCATCCACAGATGGTAATTTGAATTTCAGTAACCAACACAAGCATCTCAAACTTAAGGTGTTAATCTAAAAATATATTGATGTTTTTTTTAAACAATTGGATTACACTGACAGAATTTTTTATCATGAGGGTCTATCAGTCAATTCCTTTCAATAATTGTCTATGAATTTAGGTCACCTCACATTGTTCTATATAGACTTACCCTGATATGCTTAGAATGCAGACAGTCTACTAAGATGGTGATAAAAGGGTCCACTAATTTACAATGGTTCTCCTCTGTTGCCACCAAGCGGCCTCTCTTTAGACACAGACACAGAAGCTGGAGACCAAACTCCACCAATACATGGATGTTGGTCTTCTTACTCAGTTTTGGTTTGTCACCTCCACGCTTGGGTTCCTCTGGTAACAGAAGACAACTTGGAGGCCTAAAGGACTGGGTCTTCTTTTCTTCAGTTTTCTTTTGCTTGCTGAAACATTTCTCCAAAATTAACAACCCCCTACTTAAACAGTCTATTTTTGTAAATCTTACATTCAATGTAAAATCTGATCAACATTTCTTACATTTAAAGTATAAAAACATAGGTAATCAAAGATTACAAAGCTCACCTCGACAAATGTTACTATAAGTAAGGCAAATTTCACATAATATTTTTTTTTCTAGTTAGGGTACATCCCAAGATCAATATCCATGCAAGTTTGGTTTAAGTAGGACTTGTAGTTACTTGGAAATAGACCTGCTCAAAAAACTTTTAACCTGTTAAGTAATCAAATAATTGTGGTCAGTTCCAACATTTAAAGCAAATCTGGACATTTCATCCTTAGATGCACCATCTATGCAAGTTTAATCATAACAGGCCATAATATTATATGGCTTCTCTAAAAAAAATTACCCTGGTCACTCATCTGTAAAATGTAGGTCATGCAGATTCAGAATCCAAAGCAAGTCTGGAAGTGTCCATCCCTAGATAAATCAGATACATTAACCAGGTTAAAATATGGCTAAACTTCACTCATGTAGTAAATCCAGGTCAGATCCAGCATTCGAAGCATGTTCATTAGTGTACATCCCTAGATGCTTCATACATGAAAGTTTGGTCCAGGTAGAGCTTACAGTTACTTGGGTATGGGACTGCTCCAAAATCTGAACTGGCCTCACATGTGGAAATCTAGCTCAGATCCAGCATCCGAAGCAAGTGTGGTAGTGTCCATCCCTATATGCATTATCCATGCAAGTTTGGTCCAGGTAGGGCTTATAGTTACTTGGGAATGGGACTTGCTCCTAAAACTTTAACCAGGACGCCGACGCTAACGCTGACACCGACGCCGGGGGTATAGCATAAGCTCATCTCGACTTCGTCGAGGTGAGCTAAAAATGCATTTAAAAAGCTGCCTTTGAATAAATTACTTTCTTTTCATGCTGTTACTGTGGAATCATTAGATTTTGTGGTGTCTCAATTTTTATGGAATTTGTGGGTACCTCTCATCCATGAATTTACATCTCCATAAACAGTGGTTAAAAAGCTATATTTCTATATTTCCTTCTGCAGAAATAAGAGAATACTCGAAATTACATCCCCATGAACCTTGTAAATTTAAGCAATTCACAATAATTGGCCCCCCACAAATTTTAATGATTCCACAGTATTTTTGCCCTTTCACACTTGAGAACAGATTTGCCCCATTGTAAATCTGACCATACACAATTGTATTTAAGAATAAGTACACAACGTATTCTTTGATTTGCCCTGTTTTAAATTTGCCCATTTGTGATAGAGGTAAAAGGGCCACTAAATAAAATAAAATGGGGTGAAAATTTCCCTGTATACAGAAATTCATTCTACCTTTGTTTGTCGGATAGTTGCGGAAATGACTGAGTGATTAATCCATGGGTAAATATCATCAGAGACTCTGTATCCAGACCTGGGTTGTCCAGTAATCCTGTCACCACTTTCCTTAGGACTTCCTGTACCTTTCTTGCTATAGTGTGGCTGTGTGTAGAATCAAGAACCTGCAAGAAACAAAAGTTGTTTTTTTTTTTTTTTTTTTTTTTTTTTTTTTTTTTTTTTTTTTTTTTGCAGAATCCATAAAAAGTGCAACATGTTAACGTTGTGCAAGGTACATGACACTCAAATAACAAAGGCACTGCAAAGAAAGAGATCCCCCCCCCCCCCAAAGAATAATTTTCTGAAAAGAAAAATATAAGATTTTATATATGTGAATTCTCTTGAATTTCATAATTATGTACTCAAGGGTGAGGTTTTTCTTTGCCAACAAAATCTCAAGACTTGGGATGCCAATTTGTAATTGATTAACCAGTTACTCGGCCAGAACAATGGTGATTACTTAGAAAATCTGTAATGGGTTAGTTGGAAAAAATTAATATATGTGTAAATTTGAACTACAAAATCCTGTAAATTCAATTTAAAAAAAAAACTGAAATGTTAACATTTTCACCTATCTATTTATGGTGATTTGGAGATATTTAAGGCTATCTGGATTAATATTGTGTGGGTAATTGGCCAGTTTTCGAGATGTTAATTGTTTAAAAACCATGTTGTTACCCAGCCTGTCCTGTGTTTCTTCAATGATTTTAATCAAATGATACGGTGAACTGATTATGATCTGTTACAGTACCTATCCTTTGCCTATCAAATTAATTATTAAACAAACAGGTAAATTAAGGGATAGTGTACTTTTTCTTCTTCTTTTTTTTCCTATTTAAATTGAAAGAACAAAATATAATCAAATATAAACATAATATAATATTACTACAGGTAACATCTTTATAGTCTTGTTTAGTTGAGTAGAGCTTACAATGATGAAATATGTCAAGAAATTTTAATACGATTGACCGATTAATCAGTTAGAACCGATTGGCAATATTCCTTTGTGATAACTTAGTAGAATATTTATTAAACTTAAATAAAACAAGACTATCAAGGGGGAAATTTTCTCAGAAAAATAAAAAGAATATCCATAAAAGATTTTGAATGTACAAAATCCTTCAAACATATGTGTTTCCATAATTTATCTTCTGCAACTTCAACAATATCATCACAAATGTGACAATAAATGCCTGCATCAAAACAGGATATTGATTAACCAATCACACTTTATATAGCCTTTGAGATTAAACAACATTTATGGCGACAGGTTTAATACTAACAATACTGTTTAACTCTTTACTTTTAAAGTTTACCTCTTTTCTTGTGTCCTTTTTTGTTTAAGGTACATGTATTACGGGCTTGCTACAGAATTAAATACATGTTAATTTAACCGATTAATATTTACTAAAATAATAAAATTTAAGTAAATTAAGATTTGATGTTATGATATGAAAAGTACAATTTAGAAATACTTCTTTTAATGCTTAACAAGTTTTGTAAACTAATCAATACCAAATATTTACAAAAAAAAACTTTTGGGGAAGGGGGAGGGGGGTAAACCCAGCAAAGATTATTAATGCTGTTTAATACAAAATGTTTTCAAATGGCTTATTAATATTAAAAAATAGGAAAACCATCCTGACTTTCAAAGTGTATGATTTTAAACGATTTTAAAAAATGAGAAATAATTGCAAATGTATTTTTTATGTTTAATCTGCTAACATGTCAAAGTGAAGGTATTACAATATCAAATTCACAGTGAAATCTTATAACACATCTGCTCCCATTGAAGTAAACCAGGTAAATATGCAGACCCATTTAAATCAATGCACACAAAGTGCACAGTCAACACATACCTGGATCACTGATTATCTCACTTGTAACATAAAAACAGGCCGCCATGTTTGTTAGGGATATTTTAAAACTTAATCAGGTAAGACAATACCTTAATCATGTGCTATGCAATATAGATAAATTATACCTATTTAATTTTCTTTCCTGTGCTTTCTTGTTGATTTGATAAAAATATTTTGTATGCCAATTTTACTTTAAGGCAAAATGATACAGGTGTACATTTTCATTGTTATCACAGGTACAATTAACTCCTTTAGTTAATAAAAGCAAAAAGCAAAATGGCAACTTCAACAGATCCCCATGCCAGGGCACAAGATGTAAAACGCTGTCAGCTTTGCCCCGGAAAAGACAGAAAACCTGCTGCAGAAACTGTGTGTAACACATGCCTTGTTGATCTCTGTAAGGACTGTGTAGGTCACCATATGATGTTCAATCCCACCATTAAACATGACGCTGTAACCTTTGAGTTCAAAAAATCTGAAATCATTCCACCTCAATGCAGTGTCCATCAAGAGCAGAAATGAGAAATGTTCTGTCAACAATGTGAATCTCCAATATGTCAGAAATATCTAGCCTCTGGATCCCATAAAAATCACAATGTGCCTCAAATTTCAGAAATTTATAGTTCTACACTAGAACTCATCATAAAAGACTTAAACGAACTTTAAACTTGCATTGGACCTGTATATGAATCAATTCTCTCTGAAATGTCAGCAAAGTTATCAAGCATTGAACAAAAACGTGCTGAAAGACAACAAACTATAAAGGAACTTGAAAAAAAATGTTACATGATTGTATATAATGTCATTGAAAAATATCAGAGAGATGGTAGGAAGATGGAGAGAGAGGATAAAAAATCAATTCTGGGCTTGAAATCAGAGTTCCAGAAACGATATTCATTAATTCAGTCAGTAGTAGCTGATTTGAATTATCAGTGCCACCATTCAATCCCACAGAACTTACAGAGCAGGCATTGTGTCAGATCATTGGAAACATTCCAGAAACAATGAAAACTAGTATTGAGGGGCAGGTCCTTAAAGCACCTGAATCAATTAGCAGTTCAGAAAAACCAATCAAAACATTTCTTGATTTACCGCTTGTAGTGGGAAATGTATATACTGATGACAAAATTCTTAGAGTAGCTTTTATTCCTAAAACAGATCAATTCTATGTCAGTGGTTTCAGTGCAAGCATTAAACACATGAACACACAGGAGAAGCTTTTGAAAATAATCCTTACCAAGACATCTCATCCAGCTGATTTAACAGTCACCAAAGAAGGACACCTCGTATACACTGATACAAATGATAATAGTATTAACTTAGTAAAGAAAGGCAAGTTAGCATCGTGGATCAGAGTACAAGACTGGATGCCACAGGCCATCTGCAGCGCCTTACCAGATGATCTCTTAGTGTATATGGCATTACCACATACATCAGAAAGTCTCATGCATAGCAAAGTTGTTCGTTATTCTGGCTTTAAAATCACACAAGAAATACAATTACATACCTCTAGCAGTTTTTTATTTCCATCATTTGTAGCCTGTATTGATGAAAATAAGAACCTTGACATTGTAGTGAGTGATATAAATTCAGTAATAGTGTTGAACAAAGAAGGACAATCCTGGTTTCAGTATTATGGAAACCCAAAGTCAAATGAATACAGTAACTTTATTCCGGTTGATTTCACCACAGACAGAATGAGTCACATTCTGATTGCTGACAGGGCTATTAACATTATACACATCATTGATCAAAATGGAACATTCCTTATGTACATAGACAACTGTGAATTATGCTTTAGTATTCCATGTGGTATCGGTATAGACAGCAATGACATATTGTTTGTTGCTGAAGCAGACAGGAATGAAATAAAACAAATTAAGTACATGAAATAAAAAATACAGAGAAAACAACAACCCCCCTCCCTCAAAATGAAATTACATGAATCAAGAATAAAAATCTGTGCAAAACAAAAGCTATTTAAAACTGGGAGTTGAAATATTAGAGAATACAGATATTGGCACTTTTACTTATATTACAGAAATTACAAATTATTATCATCATACAAAGGATATACAGTCAAACATCGTTATCTCAAACTCGATGGGACCGAGATAAAACTTCGAGATATCCGAAGGTTTGAGATATCGAGGGTAAAATACTTAAGAAATAACTGCTAAGGACTTCTTTGTCATATCTACGGTACTCGAGATACCTGGTTCGAGATACCAAAGTTCAACTGTATTTTCATTCATAATTCAAAAGTATTTAACTCATTATGAATCACTGTCCGTATTATTATTTAAAGTTATAATTGCAATTCTAAAACATTTTTTTAAATCATTTTTCTTGAAAGGTATTTTCATAATGTTTTCCTAAAACTGCAACAAAAATCAGAATGTTATTAAAGAAGATACTGTACTTTTTTCTAAATCAATTATCTGTCCAGTTTAAAGATATCAGTGATTAAAAAGCTCAGAAATATTAGTGATTTACTGAACAGATAAAAACAAAACAATCATTATTTCTAGAGTTTGTACAACACTCTAGCTCTTCCTTTTTTTAAATCCTTTGTATCCTGGACCCTAACACCAGGTTTATAGCATGAATTCATGGCTTTGATATGAACTAAAAAAGCTTTGCTAAATTCTACATTAAAGATTATTCAAAATCCTTACAAAAATTAAATATGACAATGCTGTACCTGTTTCAGTGGTGTGATGAATGCCATGAGGGATTCTTTACTGATGACTTGAGCCAGTATTTTGTATGAGTCGTAACTCTTAATAGATCTGGCCTCAAACAGTTTACTTGTAACACCAGCCACCTCCTTCTCTTCTGCCACTTGTCCAAATAAATCTTCATAAAAAACCTGATGGTTAAAGAAATAGCAAAATTAAGAGATTTCAAGATCAATTCATTATCATCACTCTAGGGGAACGCATATTATAACCTTGCAATATATTTTTTTTCTTTTATTTAAAATGTGTTTTACTCTCATATTTTGTTAGGAAAATCTATAATCACAACAGTTCAGGTGAAATATAATGTCTTGTTCACATAAATGTTTTAATTTTACTTACATCTTGGAGACACTTCCTACAGACATCCAAATCTCCTTGTTTAAGAACAGGCAGCAAATTCTTAAGCAGCACATGAACAGTGTAACACAAAACATGGACCTATGGAACATGAAATCAATTAATACAGCAAAAAATGATTTTAGAATCCATACCTTCAATTGGTTAACTGCAAAATGTTTGTGACTAATTAAGGCAACTGCCAAATCAATTATAGGAAATTATGAAATTCAATTTTACAAAATAATTCAATGATGTAGTAATCAAATTGTTAAACTAAGAGGGTTAAGTTACCTGATACCCTTTTCTCAATGTTCCTCTAAGTTCGGACAAAATGTATGGGAAAAATCTTGGTCCAAGGGAAGTTGTAATCTTCACTAGTGTATCCCTAGCAGTGTTCTGATGTCCACAGCTCGAGACTTCATAAAATTACACACTTTCAACAGGATTCTAAAACAAAATATGAATACTTTTTAAGAAATTATTTAATCATAATATTCCTATAGGTGTTTTTCTTTTTTCTTCATTAACTCTAAAAGACATATTGATAATTACAGTTCATAAAGATGAATACTAGGTCTGTGTATTGAGCAAAAAATTCGATACGAAACGATATTTTATAAAGCGAATGCGATACATTGGATTCCTTAACAAGTCTATCAAAAAAGTCTTGTAAATCAGTTTATGCATAAATTTTATAAAAATGAGTGTTTTATAACCCAATTTGATGTTCATGTCTCACTGTCATTAAAAATACACTTCAAATTCAAACATTTAAAAACTGTAAAACCAACATGTTAAAACACAGTTGTCTTTATATTTTGTAATAGTTATTTTAGATGTTCGATCTCCTTAATGTGTATACCATTAATGATCAGTTTTAATTCAAAACAAATATAATCTTTGGGGAATAAAATTTCCAACTTTTTTTTCACAGAATTATAAGAAAAACTGCCTGCCCGATACGTATTGGAAATTATTTTTTCGATACGATACATTTTTTAATATTGATGCGTATTGATATATCGACATATTGAAACAGCCCTAATGAATACAGTAAAACATGTCTAATTTGGATGTTGTGTATTTCAAAATCTTGTCTATTACAATGTAACTTCAAGTCCCTTTCAGTTAAGATGTCTAATATTGTTTAATCTGTAATGTTGTCTGATAAGTAATTAGGCCATTTTGTGAGGAACCAGTGGTGTCTGGATTGGATGAGTTTTGCTTTGTGTAATTTGTGAATTTGGAGGGAATAAACACTTACCCTGGAAGGTTCCGCTCTAGAGATTTATGAGGTAGATTCTGTAGTAACTTTATCATGGCTAGAGCTATGGGTACTCTCAGTACTTCACTGTCCTCTGCTAAATTATTCCTAGCCAGCTTGTGTTCATCTTCACTCTTCTCCTACAAAAAATATACCCGACATTAAGAAATCTTAATATTATACTACTCTTATTTACATGTAGATAACTGTGAAGTGGTGTTCTGTTAATCTTTCAATATAGTTATGTTACTTTCTAGATGATGATCATCATTGCACAAATCTTTTAAGGAAACAGTCTATTCTGAAATCTGAATGCTTTTACTTATCTGGACATTTTTTTTCTTTGTGCAGAAAAAAAATATCTAGATTAATAAGGTGTAACTTTACATGAAAATGCATATAAAATAATTAACTGCATATCAAACATTGCAAGTCAAGTAATACCTTCTTTGTAAGACATCTCTGCAAGCTAGGGATAACTGACTTCATTATGGTACAGTGAATTCTAGTGGCCTGACCAACAGAACATATCACCATGGAATCAAACTGTTTTGTTTGAGAGCCAGTGCTTGTTTCCATGGTTTCATCTGTTTCTTCTGGAATTGTGGGTTTTGCATCTACAGTTTCCTCTGTGTTTTCTGCTTCTTGTTCTTCTTCATTTTCAAATGGATTTGGCTCCTCTATAAAAGATGTTAATGTATATGTATGTGATAAATTGTGGTTTCATATACAATACATGTTCTTTCTGCAGAATTTTTAGAATCATTAATGGCTATATGTAGGTGTGGTTTGGTTCTTTTTACAAAATCTTATACCTGTTATTTCCCCTTTAGCTTTTTTCTTTGCAACAGAATCTGGTAAATTGTTCACAGAGTGTTGAGAATTTTTGAGGTCAAAGTGGAATGCATCCAGAATACGAACAATCACCCTACAATAAACAAATCAATATATTATATGCATATTTTATATATAACAGAAATTTCTGTAGTTAAAAATATTCCTTTCAAAAATAATACAGTAATGTAAAATGTATTGAAAATATTCTTTATACCTGAGCAAGAGTTTTTTCTTCTCAAACTTCTTTGACAACAAGGACAGAAAGTATTTCAGTTGATTTATGTACACGTGCCAAGGTAGTTGTTTACACAGAACTCCCATGGCATCTATGGCACTTTCTTGCAGACCCTGGGCTTTTGTAAAAGTCTCATCAAGCAGGAAGGAAGAGGTTAGGGGAAGTAAATAAGAAACTATGATTTCCTTACGAACAGATCGAGACTGTAATGTCCTGTTCATCTTCTTTAATGCTCTTGATCGTCGGTGTGTCTGTAATGAAGAAAACGAAAGTTAAAAGATTCAGGTTTGAAGTATTCTTTTTAATTACTGTATCAATTAATAAATTCAGTAACAATATACATCCTGTATTTATTAAATAGATGTGTCTGTAAAAAAAAAAAGCATGGAAAACATTTTCTGTTGTAATGGCAAATTGTAGTGGTTATTCAACGCAACATCGTCTTTTAGTAAAACATGTTCATAATAACATAGACATTGTGAATATATCGTTACCATAAACAAAACACAAATTCAGCCAACACTAGAAATAGTGAAGAATAACTACTGTATATAACAAATTATGTACAGTAAAACACGTTACTAACGAAGTGCAAGGGACCCACAAGTTTGCTCCTTAAACGTAATTTGTTATATCTATTATCTTTACAATGTATCTTTCAAGGCCATTGGGAATGAGAATCACTCCGCTGTAAGCGTCAGTTCATTTTAAGCGTGTTCGCTATAAGAGTTTTTTAATGTATAAAACAAAGCAGTTTTAGCTGTTACAGACAATTTGTGATACATGTAACTGTATTTCACTGTAGGTTAACCTGGATATGCCGTATGCTTTCAAAGTAATCAGCCTCCACATCTTTGTCCTTGAGAATCACAAGGTCAGCAAACATGTCATGTGACGGGAACGTATCCACCAGTACAGACAGAATAGCAATGGACTTGTGTCGCACATTCTAAAAAGAATTTTTAAGAAATTTCAAAATACATCAACTCACAAACTTATAAAAATATATTCCTAATATAATTTCAACATTATTTTATGTGAATGATACTTCATGGATTTTTTAAACTTTACATAATTATATAATAATTTTTATTCATAAAATATTTCATTTAATGAGTATATTGTTAAGTGTCTTCATAAATAAATATAACCAAAAATAAAAATACTTCGAAAGTTATCAAATTCAAGCTTCATCTTTTCACCTCTTTTTAGCTCCTAAAGCCTGCTTTTACTTCATGAATAAGTCCATTAGAAATCAAATCTCTGAAAACATCTTGGTCATAGGTCACATACCAATATGTGATTGCCGTTATCCCTCAGTGACATAGAATATCAACTATCTGTTCAGTATGAAACATCATTAATCAATTTACAGAAGAGTTTGAAAATTTAAGAATCTTTTCTATACATTCAATTATTGTCTAATTCTTACGAATTTTTGATACATTTATATCAAAAGGAAAATTTCAAAATTTCTTAACCAAAAGAGTTTTTTTTTTCCTTTTTGCATAACTGTATACATAAAAAAAATAACTACATATACGTTGTAATCTTTGTGTAAACTATTAAATAGTCACAATTAAAGGAAGATTCATACATTTTTTATACAATAACAACAAGAATGGAGAACAGGGATTAAGCTGGAAGTCCACTTTAAATTCACCTTTCATTACTTTGATGGCCTTGTGAACTTTCTTGTGAGCATTCAGTCTTTAATGTAATGTAATCGGTCTCCTCGGAATATTTGGGGTCCCAGACACTTAGCTGTATAATTGTAGTATTAGATAAGTTTGTAAAAATTTGAATTTGAAATGCTGATTTTACTGTTATACAGTCAAACAATATTTTGAAAATAATGCAAGTCTACCCACCTCTGATAAAAGTTGTGCTATCTCTTTCAATTCTTCATTACTTCTGCAATAACCTAAAGGAACCAAAAACTAATCTCAACAATTAAATACTTGTAAATTTTCCTTTTCCAAAGCAGTTTGTTTGTCTGTGCTAAGGTTGACGTAAATTCTGGAACAGTGTCCAACCACATCTAACCAGTTAATACATTCTTCTTCATAATGTTCGCTAATTCTATCTGAGTTTCATTCCACTCTCGCCACATAAATATTTTGTCGTCTCCTCCTTCTGTTTATTCTTCTTAAAGATCTTTAAAATCCTGACACTTCTCGGTTATTCATACAGACGGTTCTGTTTTCATGCTTAATGGAAAACACATGCCTTCAGAATATAACTCCTCTTTGCAACCAAAATCAAATACAATTTTTTTTTCTTGAGTCAATTTGATGAAAACGTTTGATCTCCACGAAAGACATAATTTTCAGGAAACATTCATTCCTGAATTAAATCTCGAAAATAAAAAGGTAAATTTTCAGTTGATTAAATTTGTGTTGAAAGAAGCCGAAAAAAGCATTTCATGGGTAAATGTCCACTGAATTTAGACGTTAGAATAATTTTGGTTAATGTTTATAAAGAAAAGAGTTTATAGAGAAATGACAAACCACCATCTTGTTTTCAAAACTTATTCAATCATCGAAATGGGAAGCATGGTTGAAAGAGCAACGTTTGGTGACCCAGACGAGTTTGATTTCATGATAGATCTCCCAGGTTTTAATCAAGCTTTGAAAAAATGTCATGGGAGAAATGGCCACTTAGGTATTCAGAGAGAGAGATGAGTTTCCACCGGAAACCGGAGGGGACTATAGCTTTCCTCTGCGTCTGTCCGTCCGTCCGTCTGTCTGTCTGTCTGCAAGTCTGTCCCTGGTTTTCTGCACTTTTTTCCTAAACGCCTGCAAATATTGAGCTGATTTATGGTATGTGAATGTATTTTGAAAAGTTGCGGATGAAGTTGCATTTCGTTGCGCTTCACTGATTTTTGACGGAATTACGACCTTTTCAATTTTTTCAGGGTTTTCCGCAATTTTTTCAAAACGCTTGCAGATATTGAGCTGGTTTTGGGCATGTGCTTTTATCTTGATTATGTTAGAGATCAAGTTTACATTTTGTTTCGCTTCAATGATTTTTGACGGAATAATGGCATTTTCAGTTTTTAACGGGAACCAGATTACACTTGCCGGTAGGAGACTAGTATTGCTAATGCAATACCCTCAGAATGTTTGTTTTATCTAAACATTTTTTTACAATATGTAGGAGTATATGCTTTATAAAAGACCTTTTGGATTGCAACAAGGTAGCTAAAACTTATTTGTAAAACGTTTCTTAATTTGCCATATTCTTCAATTTATGTGGCGATATATATTAATTGCAACTTGCCGCTGAAAGCATTTTTTAAAAATATTTATTAGATCTCAAGATTTTGGACTGCAACTTGCAACCTTACTATCATGCTGAAGTATTTACCGAATTTAAGACTTCATATGAGTCAATACTATGAAATATAATGCAGTCCTTTGTCAAGTACGAGGAAAAAATATCCAACAGAGCATTCATTTAAAAAAAAAAACCCTTATTGATTTGTTATTTATGTTAACTTCAACGCGAGTGCTAAAAATTGTTAAGGTGGACTTGCTACCTAATTTATGCTATTTATCATCATAAAATTTATGCTTTGTGAACATAATAATTTCTATACAATTGTTTTGCTTTGACTGTGATTTTATTTTTTTTTATAACAAGTTTATAATTTGCGTGAAACTTGGAGGAAAGCCAATATCAACAAAGCCCAAAAGGAAGAATTATTGCAGAGGAAATCATACTTATTTATAACATGCGTATATATATTACAAGTGAATTACACTGTAAAGTAAAATCTGGAAATGACGAACAGTATTCAAGTAAAAATCAATTTAAACAACACAAATCGGGAGCATAGCAAACACGGACCTCCAAAAACATCAGAAGTGAGATATGTGCCATGAAGGATTGAGCATCCCTTGTCGACCGGTTACGCCCGCCGTGTGCTCCTTGTCATGATCGAGAAAATTTTCTGTGTGTAAATAATGGCGTAACGATTAGTATGAAAAACGCCAGTCAGCATTTGAACTAGAAATATATTGTTTTTGCTGATAATGTCAGTGTATCGACCACAGAACTTGCGAAGTAATGGTTTCACGCCAGACTGTTGATATCCTTGTTTTATCAACTGTTTTGCCGATTTCATTTGATTAATAATTGAATTATATTAAATGACAAGAGTGCTGAATGATTGTGTACTGTACTTTTATATACATGTCGTAGTCTATACTCAAATTCCAAAACAAGGGGTGTATTGATAACTTTTTCACTGTTTCTTGAATTCACGGATGTATTAACAGTTAGCGAATATTAAACCGCGTGTTATTTTCCCCCATACAGTATGCAGATGATAAGGGTATATTGCTTGTTAAGTAAGGGAACCTGACGATAAAAAAGTTGAAGTTATCACGTTATCATAAAGTTTTGTTGTTAGGTGACCATTAACGCTTTTTCTGATGAAAAAATACCAAAATAAGAAACAGATGTACCAGATACATGTACATTAATGCATTAAATAACCATTACTTATAGAGTCTGGGCTTTTAAATACCATTACTCTTTTTCTTAAAGTAATTCTTTACATTACCATGACTTAAGTTTGTTTGTTTGTTTAACGTCCTTTTGAGGATTTTTCAATCATATTGAGACGCCACACTTGCCGATGGAAAGCTGCAAATATAGACTTCTACTCGAAACTTTGGGCATTTGAGCAGTGAGGGATTTTTTTTTGCCAGCACCTACTGAGACACGGGACCTTGGTACAGTCTCATTCCAAGGACCGGTCTCCACCACCCGCAGTGGGAATCCCAACCCGCAACGTCAGGATCAACTCCTTTACTCCTCGACTCTAGAGCAGACGTTCTAGCCACTGCATCGAGCGGACGACCCATTAAGTTTTTAATTTAATGCATTACATGTACCACCACTTATTGGATTTTAAAAAATTAAAATACAGATTTGTGCATATAATAGGGCTCTTCAGAAATTTCTGAAACATTTTTTTTTAACTCGATAGAAGAGATCAATTAATGAGAGTTTATTATAATTTAGCAAGGAAAAAGATACAAATATACAAAATCTTTTGTTTATAAAACCGATATATAAGTCACTGTGAAATTCTTAAGTTGCATATGTTCATTGCAAAGAAAAATCACAATGTAATTCTAACATTACGTCAGCCTGTTTTTTTTTCACACATTGAAACGATCAGATTTTCACCAGCTCTCTTTCTGTCATCACTTGATATATTACTCTATGAACTAAAAGGGCAATTTTTCTTTATATTTTGACCTTCCTTTACAGACTTGTGTGCCGTTGCTACCCCTGCATCATATCTTATACAGTCGGACGTGCATCATTCGATACCAACTTTAGAACTGGTGACGTTAATTCAGTCTGTACTCACTGAAACTCGTCAGTTTTTTAATCTTACTATGGTTCAATGATAAATCAGGAAAAAGAAAAGCTTAATCAAGTGTTAAACTAGAGCCCTAGATATGTGTCCTCTTGATTGTATTAATTTGTTTTAGAAGGACCTTTATATTAACAATTCTACTCCGGTCTATATAAAAATTATTGCATGTCCTCTACTTCCCCTTGACAATAAAATTCATTTTACCTAATCAAAATCGTATGCCCATGGGAAGAATCTTTAAAACATCCGTATTTCTAATCGAAAAATCTATCAAAATTGCTCAAATAGGGTAAAAGGAAAGGTCGAAATATGATGTGTATAATTTCAGGTTTTTTAAAAAATGTTCTGAGACAACTTAGTAAGTAGTAATTCCAAAATTGCAACATCTGATTTTGAAACTGCATTGGATAGGTCATTTAAAAACAAATTTTTTTGGCTTTTATTTATTGTTGTTTTTTGGTAAATGTATATGCCAATTTTCAAAAAAAAAGTTTATCAGATACAAAAAAAAATACAAAAATTTCCGAACATCCCTTTTTCTTTCAAAATCATGTGAAGAATGTTGATTCAAATTTGCTTTCACAAAGAGTTCACTATTTTTCAATCAACAATAAGGAAAACATGTATAATATACACTTTTTAGGTAGCTATTGCCGTCAGAGAGCAAAAACATTTCGGACTCTTTACTCACTCCAACAACTATCTCAATTCGTCAAACTTACAATGTTTGACCGAGGACCTTTTGAAAGAAATAATGCATATAATGACAAACTTCTGAAATTGTTGGACAGTGTGTACACTTTGCTCAACAAAAAGTAGCATGCCCTCCTCTTCCTTTTGGTCTAATTGATATCACAATGTCGGCTAAAGCCAGACAAGTTCCTTTTTATGTTTTAATGTTTTATAAACACAGTCTGGAGAAAGGATTTGTTTTTGGAGCACTTTAAAAACAATACATTTTTTTATCTTTACATAATCCAAAAGGTATTAATGAGTAATGCCAGCATTATTGTAGATTTGAAAAAGTAGTGTATTGCATTACCATTAAATGTAATGCAGATTTCTTGGCGTTATACGTTATTAGCATAACTTTGATTTCACGTAATGCACAGCAATGTATTACCATAACATCAAATATTACCCAAACCTGGTATAATATGATTGTATTTAAGAAAAAAAAACTACATGGATATGCATTGTGTGTCTCGACGTACGCTAGTTTATGAACTGTTAACACATGAATGCATCTCAATGATAAGCCTATGCATGTATTAACTTGACAAGCATATCAAGTAGATATTTAAAACGCAATTATTGCTATATAATGTCTAACTCATTTGTGCAGGCATACGGAAATCTGGCATTTTAAAGGAGCCGCAAACATTGAATTGACAAACTTAAAAAGGGTATGTATTAAAAATGTCACAGTTTTAAAACAAAATAATAACTGAAAAATTACTTTTATGTACACCGATTATGTTATAATTGTTTTTACTGGATGCAGCTTTAAACTTGTCCTCTAATTTTAAAGTCTGAAAGTGACATAATAGTTTGTTAATATCTGTTTAGAATCACAACATTAAAGATCATGACATCAAATGTAGATCCCCTCTTGAGAGCACAAGATGTGAAACGCTGCCAGCTTTGCACTGATAAAGATAGAAAGTCTTTAGCTAATATAGTTTGTAACACTTGTAATGTCAGCCTTTGCGAGGACTGCGTAGGTCATCATATGATGTCTTTTCCCACTATTAAACATAATGTCGATACTTTTGAATATAAAAATTCTGAAATCGTTCCACCACAGTGCAAACTAGATGGACACGAAAAATGCGACAAGTTCTGTTACGAGTGCAATTCTCCAATTTGCTTCAAATGTACTACTTCCGGATCACATGAAAATCACACAATAAAACAGATTTCTGACATGTGCAACTCAAAACAGGATATCATAAGAAAGGACGTACAAAAACTCGAAAGTGAACTAGCACCTGCCTTTGAATCCATTTTCTCTGAAATAGAGATTATGGAATCGGATGTTTTGAACAAGCATGGCGAAAGACGACAAGCAATAACTGAATTTGGAAGAAAATGTCACAAAGTTGTAGACATCGTTATGACGAAGTATTTAAGCGATTCAAAGGAGATTGAAAGAAGGGATTTGGACTCAATCAAATCTTTAAAAGCTAAAATTCAGGACCAAAAATCATCAGTTAAATCAGAAATACAAGAAAAACATTCAATTCTTGAATCTAAAGATGCATTCAAACTTGCTAGTTACACATCCAAAAACAATGAGTATAGAGACGTTCCCTCTTGGTTTGAATTGAAGATTCCACCATTTCATCCAAACGAACTTTCAGAGCTAGCATTATTTCAATTAATTGGAGAAATTCCTGAAACAGAAAAAACGTATATTAGAGGACATGTCTTAGAAGAACCTGAAATTGTTGGTACAGTGAGCACTGGTAATCATGAAACAAACAGAGTGAACTGTATTCCAAACACTAATGAATTTTATGTTTGTGGTGTCAGTGAAATTATCAAACGTATGAACACAGAAGGGGAGTTGCTGGAAATGATCACAACTAAGTCCAAAACATCCCCATCAAATTTAACTGTCAACAGAGAGGGAGATTTGATATACACTGACGTGGATGATAAAAATATTTACATTGTGAAGAATGGACAGATACGGTGCCTAATCAGACTTTTCAAATGGACTCCAAGAGGCATCTGTAGTACCTCATCAGATGACTTACTAGTTGCCTTACTATTAAAGGGTGACACAAAAATAGTCCGTTATTCTGATTCTACCGTTACACAAGAAATTCAATACAAAGATACCGGCGAACCTTTATATCATGATCCAGCATCTATGGAAGAAAATAAGAACGGTGATATTGTGGTGTCTAACTGGGCTACAAACACAGTAGTAGTGGTGAATAATGAGGGAAAGTTCAAATTCGAATATAAGGGAAACCATCAAAATAATTTGGAAGATACATTCACTCCAGATGGAGTAGCCACGGACAGTATGTGCCACATTTTGATTGCAGACCGTAATAATCATATAGTTCATGTCATTGATCGCAACGGACAGATACTTGTATACATAGACAGCTGCAATATACAGTATCCTTACGACCTCAGTACAGACAGTAAAGATATGCTCTTTGTTGCTGAATTCAAAACTGATTTAGTGAAAGTAATAAAGTATTTAAAATAATGAATGGTGAATTTAGTGTTGCACGTGGTATACTCAACGTAATTGTATACATGAACATGCCATATATACGTGGGAGGTTTTAATGCTGTCAGAGAATACTACCATACCTAATTCCGTTAATTATTGATCTATGCTATTTTTCATTATAAAGTTCTTACAGAAAATAATTAGTTCTTGTTATAATGAAATAAACATACCATCTTTGGTATCAATTAAATTTGATGATGAAGCTTTTATAAATTTTCCATGGAGGGAGGGGTTTTAGAAGTACAAAGAATAAATGTGTTATTTATTAAGGATAATAGCCGAATCAAATATTTTCCATCTATGAGAATAATTACTTTTCGTTAAAAGGATTTTGTTTAAGAGCAAAATAAAAAAAACATTTTTGTTTGTAAGAATACAGAGTAACGGTACATAATAAAGCATACTCAAGGCGTATTTTTTTCTCTTTATTTGCATTATTGTAATAGGGTGATATTTTCAATATATTTATGATTAATAAATGATACTAAAAGTATATTGTGTTTCTTGTTGTTTTATAATTATTTCACTTGATCATCATCTACATCATCATCATTTTGTATATATTTAGTTGAAACACAATTGGATACACATTCCTGTATTGCCCTATTCTCCCTTGGTTCTTTTATTGTGCTATTCATTGATCATTAGTTGACTTCTTCAATTAATGACTTTTTGGTATTTAATGCCTATGGCTATTTTACCTATGTGGTCATTTTCAGACATGTGATACATGTCATGTGGTTTGAAGAACCAATAGATTTACTTTATATATTTTCCCGCTTTTGGTGAACTGCCTTTGTTCATTAGAAAGTTAGATTCCTTAGAGGAAAGTTCTTATAATATATAATTATGTAGTGACTGTATCTATGTGAAGTCTGCCATATTTGAATTATCCTGACTGACCTGAAAGATGCACTGACAGATAGTAAGTGCACTCTATATTTTTTTATCTTGATTAATATCTGATTTAATATTTCTGTAAATTATCTAATTTATGCATTTTCTATCATTCATGAGTAAATTCAATTGATTTGATCATCAAGTTTATTTCTTTTACTTTTATCATTCGACCTTAGTAATTTATAAATATCAGTTATCAATTTCATTGATGGGATCTGATTATTGATTCTGAAGTTATATAGTTAAACTATTATTTACAGTTGATATGTAGTATACCCGAGACTTGATTCAGGCAGCTTATTGAGTTTAAGCCTTGTTCCATAAACAGGTGATTAATTGATAAGCATATGAAATATAATACTTTTATCATAGATAAATGTAATGTGAAATAGTTGCATTGAAATGTATATATTTATGGAGTAATATTGTATATGCATAATATTCATTATCAGAATTAATGTTTTTAATATATTTTTAATGCAGTCAAGGGAAATAACTTGTAAAGTACTTTAAACTTTAAGAAGATAGCAAGAGTTATCCTTCTTGTATTATACATATTCCCTTGCAAGTTTATTGTTGATTTTTTATGCTCAATATTGTTTATTCCTATTACAGGGCTTAACTATAACTACAACTATTATATTATCATTGAGTCCATCCATATCAACACTGAAGTATTTAATAATAAATGATGAACCGACAAGTGGTGTGTTATTCGTCACTAAAGGCCACTACTACATTTGGCGCCCACGTTGGTTGTTGATGATGGACGATGCCTACACAAGATGAAGCTGATGAATGATGGTCTACATCTACCTTCCTCCTTGCGAGAGCTATAGTGAACAGTGTCAGTTTTGTGCTTGCTGACTTAATTTACCCTACATGCAGTAGTGATCAGCACTGTGAACTGTGACTTTATATTGTGACTTCTGTGTCATTGACTCCGTGGTGATTCATTATTCCACCAGTGGTTGGTAAGACAATCTACCATACAACACTTGTTTACCTAACCAGTATATAGATAAGAGTATTTGTATTATCTGTTGTATATAAACATGTATTAGGAACAAGTATATTGAAAACAAAACATTTGTGCCCTGTCCTTATTGTACTGGTAACTGATATAGTTTCATATTGAAATTCTTTCAAAATTGCTCTTTACTAACAACTTTGCACTGCACTGCATGCTTTATTATATTTGACAATTGTTGACTGGACTGAACAGATGCTGATAGAGCTGTGGTAGCTGTGGCAGATGTACATACTAGGCACAGGTAAGGTCCCACCCCATGCCCTTCTTAGTTACATGTACATGTACATTATAAAGACACACATGTATATGATAGGTCATACATACACGCATGTACGTATGTTGATCAAGTGAAATATTGTAGGTGTTTGACAACAGTAAGGGTAGCTATAGATAACATGTCCGTCTGTCTGTCGTAGTTAATATTTGAAGTGAATATCAAAGTATACTGAATTTTTTTGCATTGGGTACAGTAAAGATTGAGTATCTCCCACACCTGCTCACTATATAGATAGTATATTTGAATAAGACTGCCATTATTTTATTATTTCATCTGCTCATTTTTCATTTTCATTTGATTCATTGTATTTAATTTTATTGTGTATATATATTCATTTTGTTGTCATTGCCTTTTGAACATTTTTCTATTGTTGTTTGTTTCTATTTTGTATACATAATGTAGACCAAATTGCAGTGAACTAGAGTTATTGCCCTTTATTCAGAGTAATTTTGATATATTTATCAGTTACTTATTAAAGTTTCTTTAAATTTTTTTTGACATCTCTTTTATTATTTTTTTTTTCTTTTTGAGTTACATAAATTGATTTTTCTTTCTATAAAATTACTTGAATTGAAATTATTTTATTTGATTTTTTAAATTTAAATTTCATTACTCTCAATTAGAATATTGTATTGATTGGTATTTGAACTAAGAGTGAATTCATTGGAAATTGATTAATTGGGATATGTGATTTATTTTGAAATTTTTGTTATGTAATTAATTTTTTTGGAAATTCCATTTATTTTTTTATCTGTGACATTTATATTTATATTTTTTGTATAATTTGATAAAAATTTAAATTTTCAAAAGTTTCTCTGAAATTGCATTGTTTACATTGGTGATATTTATTTTTCTGTTCATTTGGCAAATCATTCTACATTTTTATTTTTTTATTTTTTTTTTTCAAGCATATTTCATTTTGATTTTTTAAAAAATGTTAGTTTGACTTACTGGCAGGTATATTCAAAACAAACATTCTATTATATTGTAGCATGTATATTGTATATGTGATGTGAATCAAAGTGACACAATCCATTTTGTGATGAGAAAAGTGAAATTTTGAAATCAGTGAAATCAGGGAAATATATTGAATTCAATTCAAGTGATACATGTGAGTGAAATTTTGAAGTGAATCACTACATTGGAAATTCAAATTCGTTCTAGGATTGTGTATTCTTGGAAAAATTCATCATGGCAGATATTACAGAAGATGAAGCAAAGAACATTATCAGTTCTTTTAAAGCCTTGAAGTTGAAACCCAAGGCAGATACACCTCAGGATCTTCAGGCATGGCTACAAGGATTTGCTAGTGCTAAATCACCTACAGTACCTACAGTGAAAACTGAAATTCAGACGGATGTTATAAAACACTACACAGGATTTCCCAAAATTTCAACATTCTCTGGTTCATCAAAATGTGAAACATCCTATGAACTATGGCGTTACGAAATCCAGTGCCTTGCTAAAGAGAAAGTATACAGGGAAGACCAAATCCTACAAGCAATTAGAAGATCAGTGAAGGGAGAAGCTGCTAATGTGATCATGAGACTGGGTCCTAGTGCAACCATTGACACTATTATACTCAAGATGAACTCTATTTATGATACCATTGAAAGCAGCCAAAAAATCCTAGGAAAATTCTACAGTGCAGAACAAGAACCTAATGAGACTGTATCAGAGTGGGGTTGTCGGCTTGAAAACATCATCAATAAAGCGGTCCTCCGAGAAGAAGTAGAAGCGGGAAAAGTGGATGACATGTTGTGTCATGCTTTCTGGTAAGGACTTCGACCTGATTTGAAGGATGCATCAGGATACATACATGACAAATTTTTATCCTTTGATGAACTGAGATCAGAACTGAGAGCTATTGAAGAGGATCATGATCATCGGAAAAAGGCACAAGTTAAAGCAAGTAAGGATTCAAATGTGATGAGTGCAATACATACAGAAAAGCCCACATCTGAAATGGATGAAGTCAAAGGAATGTTACAGAAGCTGACAGCTGAGGTACAGCAACTGAAGGATGAGAGATACAGCAGACCACAACAATTCAATAGGAAAGATAACTACAGTGGAGATAAAGAAAATCCATATTATTGACAAGTCTGCGCCACATCAACTTCAGTTTAGACCACAAGGACGAGGAACATACAGGGGTCAATGTTCAAATAGAGGTCAAGGATCATACAGAGGTCAAAGTCTATACAGAGGTCAAAGAGGAGTTTATAACACACAGCGACTCCAAGGAAATAAACCTAACCCAGTTGGACCAAATGGTTTGCCCATATGTTTTCGATGTGGTCAAGAAGGACATATCCAGTTTGGATGCAGGATAAAGACCTTTATACAGCAGAAACAACCTTTAAACTCACCATGGCCGGCGTTGAGAGGCAAACACTAGGCCAGGAACATGGAACACAGAGCCTCAGAAATCATCCAGAAACAATACCGGGACTGATGGGAGAACAAAGTTTAATACATATTAATATCAATGGTGTGGAAACAACTGCCTTATTGGATACTGGTGCCACAGTGTGTACCATCAACACAGATTTTTATGAGACTTACTTGCGTGATCTACAAATATTACCTCTAGATGATATACTTAAGATCAGATGTGCTGATGGTGGAGTTATGCCATATCTAGGATATGTGAAAGTTAACATCAAAACAACAGATATAGATGCGACAACAGACCATGAATGTTTGATGTTGGTAGTTCCAACAACAGAATATAGTCAGAAAGTTCCTGCGATAATAGGCACAAATTTTATTCAAAGTATGATGGCATCTGTACAGGAACAAAGAGGAAACAGATTTTTACAGCAAACCAGAATGACAACACCCTGGTATTTAGCATTCCGATGTATAGCCATTAGGGAAAAAGAACTAAATCGCAACAGACATAGACTGGGTATAGTAAAATCAGCTGAAGAATACAGTATCTTCATTCCACCAAATAAGGAAGTTAAAATATCTGGATACATAGATCATCAAATACCATACCATCCTGTTTGTGCCATATTACAAGCAACTAATGGATCTGTGATACCAGATGACCTTGACATCACACCATCTTTAGTTCAATACAAATACCAAGATAGTAATCTAGTGGAAGTCAACATTAGTAATGTGACAACAAGAACTGTTAGGATTCCACCTAGAGGACTTTTATGTGAACTACAACCAGTGATGATCGAGGAAGTACAAGCCAGTGCTGATGCACTCACCGAAGTATCCCCACCAGACAAAATAATGGATTCACTAAAAATCTCTAATAAATTCCTGTCCCATGATCAACTTCAAGAATCCTACAAAGTATTAAAGAACAACAAAGACATATTTTCAACAAGTGAAAGTGACATAGGCCATAGTATCAGAGTTCAGCATAAGATACATCTGAATGACGAGACACCGTTCAAACAGAAGCACAGACGTATTCCTCCATCAATGTTTCAAGAAGTTCGTAACCATCTACAACAGTTACTGACAGCTGGAATCATAAGACGGTCAGAATCACCATGGACCAGCAACGTAGTATTATGTAGAAAGAAGAACGGAGAGTTACGTATGTGTGTAGATTATAGACAACTTAACTCCAGGACTGTAAGAGATGCCTATGCACTACCAAGAATTGAAGAAATATTGGATTCATTAGGAGGCAATACATATTTTTCAGTCCTAGACATGAAGAGTGCATACCATCAAGTTGAGGTTAAAGAAGATCATAAGCAGAGAACAGCGTTTACCGTGGGGCCACTTGGATTTTTTTAATACAATAGGATGCCTTTTGGATTGGCCAACGCCCCAGCGACATATCAAAGATTAATGGAGGATTGTCTAGGCAACTATCATCTTAGCTTCTGTTACATCTATTTGGATGATTTAATTATATTTTCAAGAACATTTGAAGAACACATAGAGAGATTAGAGAAGGTATTTCAGTGCATCAGGGAAAACAACTTAAAACTTTCACCGAAGAAGTGTGCTTTTTTCATGGACAGAGTGAAATATGTTGGACATGTGGTTTCAAAAGAAGGGATAGAACCAGATCCAGATAAGATAGATAAAGTCCTGAACTGGTCTAGACCAACTAAGCCAGATGAAGTTAGACAGTTCATTGGATTTATAGGCTACTACCGCCGCTTCATCAAGGATTTCACAAAGATAGCAAAGCCACTTAACGAATTGATGCCACCAACATCACAAAAGAGTAGAAAGAATTCTAAAGCACCACCTTCCTGGAAATGGGGTACAGAACAAGAGAAGGCATTCCAGCAACTTAAAACCCAATTATCATCACCACCTATATTAGGATACTCTGACTATGAAAAACCTTTTGAACTCCATACAGACGCCTCTCTTTCAGGATTAGGAGCAGTCCTATATCAGGAACAAGAAGGCCAAAAGCGAGTTATTGCCTATGCAAGCAGAGGTCTCAGTAAGTCAGAAAAGAATTATCCTGTCCATAAGCTGGAATTTCTTGCCTTGAAGTGGAGTATTTGTGACAAGTTTAAAGAATATCTCTATGGACAAACTTTCAGAGTCTACACTGATAACAACCCTCTTACATACGTTTTATCTACAGCACATTTAGATGCCACAAGTCAGCGATGGGTTGCCAGCTTAGCATCATACAACTTTGACATCATCTACCGCCCTGGAAAGTCAAATAGAGATGCAGATGCATTGAGCCGTTTACCTGGACTCCCTAGCAATGAAGAAACATGCATCACCAGTGATTCAATACAGTCTATTTGCAATGCTATTGAAGTGTCTCCATATGCCGAATGTTTCACAATGTCAAGTGATGCTGTGATTGACCAACCATTACCCCAAGTAGACAAACACTTTGATGTCATAACTGCTCAGTACAAGGATCCCATTTTGAGTTATTGGATTCCTTTCATTAGAAGCAACACTAAACCATCAAGGAATGAGATACCATTTAATCCAGACCATATGACCATCTACAGGAACTTTGACAAACTTCGAATCATCAATGAGACTATCTACAGAGAAGTTTTTTTAGACAACATCAGGAAATATCAACTGCTTTTACCATCAAAGTGCATACACACAGTTATGAGGTCACTTCATGATGAGATGGGTCATCCTGGCAGAGACAAGACTGTATCATTAGTCCAGGATAGATTCTTTTGGCCCAGAATGACTGCTGATATTGAGGATTATATTCAAAAATGCAGTAGATGTGTCTTCAGAAAATCACCAGACAATCAAAGAGCACCTCTTATAAATAAAACTACATTTCAACCAATGGAACTAGTATGTCTGGATTTCTTGACTTTGGAAACATCAAAAGGTGGATATGAAAATGTACTAGTTATAACTGACCATTTCACCAGATACGCCCAAGCCTACCCAACGAAAAACCAAACAGCCAAAACAACAGCTCAGATTCTTTTCAACAACTTCATTCTACATTATGGTATTCCCAAGAAAATCCACACAGACCAAGGAGCAAATTTCGAGAGTAACTTAATCAAAGAACTTTGTGAACTTATCGGCATTACCAAATCACGCACAACTCCTTACCATCCTATGGGAAATGGGCTATGCGAGAGGTTCAATCGCACTCTCCTTAAGATGTTGGGAACATTAAGACCAGATCAGAAACATGATTGGAAACAACACATAGGTCCCATAGTACATGCTTATAATTGTATGAAACAGTCTTCAACAGGACATTCGCCTTTCTTTTTGATGTATGGAAGAGAGCCTAGGTTACCGATAGATTTTGTATTTAGAACCAATCCATACGAAGACCATGAAAGTATGCCCCAGTACATCAAGAAGTTGCGAGATAAACTAGACACATCCTATAAACTGGCTCAGCAGTATCTGAAAGATTCCCAAGGAAAACAGAAGACGTATTATGATAGGAAAATTCGAGGAGCTATTCTTTCCAAAGGAGACAGAACATTAGTGAAGATAGTAGCATACGATGGCAGACATAAAATAGCTGATAAATGGGAAAGTGAGCCATACATAGTATTATCTCAACCAAACCCAGATATACCTGTATACAGAGTCCAGAAGGAAGATGGTACAGGGAAGATACGAACACTACATAGAAATCTGCTACCAATATCTTTCATCCCAGAGGACAGAGTCAACATTGCACCAAAACCAAAGCCAAGGAGAAGGAAGTCAGTAGCTAAAGTAGCTCAAGAACCAGTACTTACCACAACTGAGCCTGATGTCGAGAATTCTGATTCAGACAGTGACCATGATGTAGGAATACCCCACATCATCTTAAGCACAAGAAGAGTTAATGGGGAGATGAACCCTGGCAGTGATGCTGATAATGTTCATGCATCTACCCAGGAACCACAGAAAACTGACCCAACTCCATCTGTATCACAGACAGATGAAGATACATCAACAGAGGAAAAACAGCCGGCTGGTCAGGAAGATATCCAGGATCTGGATGAAACACATGAGAGTCCTGATAGTGAAAGTGATGAAGATACCCGGGTCAAGACGCCAGTGCCCCAGACAAGAAGATCAGCAAGATTAAAAGCACAGCCAAAGTGGATGACATCAGGGGATTTTGTCGTGAACCAACACTCAACAGAGAGTCAACCCGATTGGAGGTTAAAGGCGGAGTATTTAATGAATACTTCTAACAATTCTATTTTTAAAGGTCATGAACATAAAATTGTAGATAGTATTTTAAAGCTTTTAGTTGATACATAAGTCAAATACAAATAGGACTGTATACTTTGACAAGTATTTTTATGACAATTTGCTGAATTCAAATATTTTTATGACAATTTTTTGAATGATGGAACATCATTCTCGAGCAGGGGGAGGGTGTAATAGGGTGATATTTTCAATATATTTATGATTAATAAATGATACTAAAAGTATATTGTGTTTCTTGTTGTTTTATAATTATTTCACTTGATCATCATCTACATCATCATCATTTTGTATATATTTAGTTGAAACACAATTGGATACACATTCCTGTATTGTCCTATTCTCCCTTGGTTCTTTTATTGTGCTATTCATTGATCATTAGTTGACTTCTTCAATTAATGACTTTTTGGTATTTAATGCCTATGGCTATTTTACCTATGTGGTCATTTTCAGACATGTGATACATGTCATGTGGTTTGAAGATCCAATAGATTTACTTTATATATTTTTCCCGCTTTTGGTGAACTGCCTTTGTTCATTAGAAAGTTAGATTCCTTAGAGGAAAGTTCTTATAATATATAATTATGTAGTGACTGTATCTATGTGAAGTCTGCCATATTTGAATTATCCTGACTGACCTGAAAGATGTACTGACAGATAGTAAGTGCACTCTATATTTTTTTATCTTGATTAATATCTGATTTAATATTTCTGTAAATTATCTAATTTATGCATTTTCTATCATTCATGAGTAAATTCAATTGATTTGATCATCAAGTTTATTTCTTTTACTTTTATCATTCGACCTTAGTAATTTATAAATATCAGTTATCAATTTCATTGATGGGATCTGATTATTGATTCTGAAGTTATATAGTTAAACTATTATTTACAGTTGATATGTAGTATACCCGAGACTTGATTCAGGCAGCTTATTGAGTTTAAGCCTTGTTCCATAAACAGGTGATTAATTGATAAGCATATGAAATATAATACTTTTATCATAGATAAATGTAATGTGAAATAGTTGCATTGAAATGTATATATTTATGGAGTAATATTGTATATGCATAATATTCATTATCAGAATTAATGTTTTTAATATATTTTTAATGCAGTCAAGGGAAATAACTTGTAAAGTACTTTAAACTTTAAGAAGATAGCAAGAGTTATCCTTCTTGTATTATACATATTCCCTTGCAAGTTTATTGTTGATTTTTTATGCTCAATATTGTTTATTCCTATTACAGGGCTTAACTATAACTACAACTGTTATATTATCAGTGAGTCCATCCATATCAACACTGAAGTATTTAATAATAAATGATGAACCCATAAGTGGTGTGTTATTCTTCACTAAAGGCCACTACTACATTATAAATGATTCTGTCAATTTCAAAAAAGAAATTGATTAATTTCTATGTGAAAATCATATAAACCATTCCACGCACCTCTTCTTCATATGAATACAAAAATATGTTTGCAAATAACGAGGCGCAGTTAGTACCTAAGGGAAATCTGATAGATTGTTTGAGATTGTCCACCAAGACAGAGATAAAAATGTCCTCTAATTTACAGTGGTTCTCCTTTGTCGCCATCAAGCGGCCTCTCTTCTGACAGCAAAAGGAGACCAAACTCTACCAATACATGGATGTTGGTCTTCTTACTTAGCTTGGGTTTGTCTCCTCCATGCTTGATTTATTCTGGTAACAGGAGATAACTTGGAGGTCTAAAGGACTGGGTATCCGTTTGGTTGTTTGTCTCCTGTTTTCTAAATCTTATGGGTTCCCTGCACTTCTACCTTTGTCCGAATCAATGTACCAAAAATGTCTTATGATAAAATAATTCAATGTGTGAGCCCTGACCACTTCTCATTGCCCGATATTTTCAGATATTACTGAGTACATGAAAATCCTTGAAAAAAAAGTTTAAATCTTCTGTGACTACACCTAGGTTATCCTGTTTGTTCGTAGAATCAAGGAACTAGAAAAACATGGATTTCTCTTTACCAGATTTCATTATGCTAATGTATGATGTTAATACAGTTAATACAGATGCATTATGTTAATACAGTGCTAATGTATGATGTTAATACAGTTGATACAGAT